CTGAACACCGATTACCACGACGCACAATGCTGACTAGTGTTGGGAATGGTTGGAAGAAAGTTAGGGGCGGCCAAACCAAAACGTGGCATCAGTCATTGAGGTCACTAACTTCTGGTTTTATCCATGTCGGTAGATGCAAACTACTTTGTTAAATTCCGCGCGACTATCGTAACCAATGTTTCGAGACCGGGTGACATGGCTCAGAATCGATCACAATGAAGTAGATGTATATACTCTCTGTCTACACTTTAACCGTGAGATTGAAATTACTTTATAGCTTTATTTTTACGAACTTATTCTTTCTCCCTGTATCATATCCTTATATGAAATCTTGTATACATTACCACCATTGAAGTAACTGCTTCTATGAATTTGTTGTTCATCTTGTTGTGCTAATGAGGTGTGGCAAATTGGACCGATGCATATATGTGACTGGTCCTATGTTGTAGCTGACTTATCATTGAGTGTCAGATACATTAACTAAAAAGACCTTATGAGACATATAGATCTCCATGTTTTCTTTTTCAGATAAAGGTGTATCTTATCACTATTTATACTATTCAATACAACAGAATATTATTGCTATAAGTTTTACATTTAATGCTGTGGTTTGTGTCACAGTTATTGTAATTTGGAGCTTATTGTTTTTGGCATCCACAAAATCATTTTATAGTTTACTAAAAAAATTATATTCGCAAAGAAGACAAATTAAAATAAAGACGTTGAGACGTGCAACATTGGAACAAGATGAAAGTGAAATGTCTGTGAATCGATGTGAAAATATTAACAATACAAGAGAAGACAATGACGAAACTAATAAATATTAATGGATGACAGGTTTTTACTGTTACGAGTTTATACATTTTACAAACTCAGAACGTTTACTGTGTTTAATCATTCATCATTAAATCTAATGGTTATAAATCAGCTTAAGCAATTTTTTATCGTCTTATTATTTAAAATAGATATCCATTGTGAAATCCTTTTAAACCATATGTTATTGATAGGTTGGGGATCGACTGAAGTTAACCATTTAATTTTACAGGAGAAATAAACGAGTACTTTATGTCCTGAAACTAGAATTACGAAAAATAAAAGTGCAGCGTATCAACTTCGATTATTTCGACGATAGTTACCAGCACAGACAGCTATCATTTGGAGAGCCATTGAACTTCAGGGAGTACTAAGAGAATATTTCGGTTTAATTAAGTATTTCTGAGTAATGAGTACTTACGCCACCCATTTGGTCGAACCTTCAATTGTCGATCCTCAAGAAGTGAAAAATACCATCAACCCAATTAATCCAATTTCAAAACGCCGTATTTCCCTATCTGCTGTTATAGGGGTGCAGACAATCTCATCGCAGAGATTAAAACCTGAATACCTCAGTGGCAAAGTTTCTGACTGCTCTACTAGATAAGGAAGGTCCAAGCATCTAAGAGAGCACCGATTAACTTATAACTGCAGATACTCCATGCTAACTGATACAAACCAGCACATTACTTGAGTTCCGAGCTTATTCTCGAATGCTCCCAACTATGTGATATTCAAGACAGCCCACAGCGGTAACAACTCACTTAACTCGATGATCACATTGCAAACATGATGGAGAGAAGTCGATTGACTTTGAGGACTACACAACAAGAGATAAGTTGCTACGCACTGAAAAGAAAATTATCCTGTCTGGATTATAATACACAAGTGTAATGAAGGCCCGTAACTGAACACCTAATCTAAGGAAAAAACACCATTCACACTAAAGAACTTATAATTTTATCTGTAGAGTAGGAACATATTATTGATGGTGGGCTACCATAATCTGTAAACTTTGCAATTATTATCCATATGGGGTTGTAGAGATTGTTAAGTTTTCGATTGAAATAATGAATGAATCGATGTTGGGCCACCGCTGAGAACCTGGAAACACTGGACGACCGTTCCGTCCTATTATGGAACTCCTCAGTAGCGTGCACCCACGATCCCGCACTTAGGATTGATTATTCGGACCATTGAGTATGGCCTCAATAATTATCGGGCGCTTAACAAAGACTTATGAACTTCAAACACAAAATCAGGCTGGCTTCAAACCTGGTCGTGGTTGCATCGACCTTATATCCACCATTCATCAGACCTTAGAACACAGACATGCTTATCGGCGTCCGACAATGGTGGTTTTTCTCGACTTAAAAGCAGCATTTGAGTCTGTAGACGGAGAGGTTCTGTGGTAGTGTTAACCATTGAAAGGTGAACCTCGGAAGTACAAAAGCCTTGTGAATGTTCTTTACTCGAACACTACTAGTTGAGCCAGAGCTTATGGCGAAATGTCATCTGATTTCGTAATCTCAAATGGTGTTCGACAAGGCTGTCCACTTTCTCCATTTTTTTTCAACTTCATCATAGACCTATTGATGGAAATAACGTTCTTATCGTCTGAATTTTCAGGATTTGATCTCCTTTCAGAAGGTCCACTTATCGACTTAGAATACGCAGATGACATAGTCCTGTTTGGTGAAGACGCTGATAAAATGCAGTCTTTTGATAGCACTAAGTAACAATGCTTCAGGACTGGTCTGCGTCAACACCTGAACTAAGGATAGGGAGTGAAGTAGTCGAACGCGTTGACAACTTCACTTATCTTCGAAGTCTGACCAGCCCTATTGGGTCGGTGTCTGACGAAATCTCAGCACGGATTCGAAAGGCTCGTCTGGCTTTTACCAACTTACGTCACCTATGAAGAAGGCGAGATATCCGCCTATTATTTAACGGACGAGTATACTGCGCATCAGTTCTTTCTGTTCTAATTTACGGCTGCTATCAGTATTTGACCACAGATGCCTTAGAAATTTTGCTCGCATCTGCTGGGATCATCGGGTAAGTAATAGTGAGGTTGGACGCAAGGTATTAGGGTTGTAAACCTTCATCGACTGAGATGATTGTGCCACGTGTTACGTATACCTGAACACCGATTACCACGACGCACAATGCTGACTAGTGTTGGGAATGGTTGGAAGAAAGTTAGGGGCGGCCAAACCAAAACGTGGCATCAGTCATTGAGGTCACTAACTTCTGGTTTTATCCATGTCGGTAGATGCAAACTACTTTGTTAAATTCCGCGCGACTATCGTAACCAATGTTTCGAGACCGGGTGACATGGCTCAGAATCGATCACAATGAAGTAGATGTATATACTCTCTGTCTACACTTTAACCGTGAGATTGAAATTATTTTATAGCTTTATTTTTACGAACTTATTCTTTCTCCCTGTATCATATCCTTATATGAAATCTTGTATACATTACCACCATTGAAGTAACTGCTTCTATGAATTTGTTGTTCATCTTGTTGTGCTAATGAGGTGTGGCAAATTGGACCGATGCATATATGTGACTGGTCCTATGTTGTAGCTGACTTATCATTGAGTGTCAGATACATTAACTAAAAAGACCTTATGAGACATATAGATCTCCATGTTTTCTTTTTCAGATAAAGGTGTATCTTATCACTATTTATACTATTCAATACAACAGAATATTATTGCTATAAGTTTTACATTTAATGCTGTGGTTTGTGTCACAGTTATTGTAATTTGGAGCTTATTGTTTTTGGCATCCACAAAATCATTTTATAGTTTACTAAAAAAATTATATTCGCAAAGAAGACAAATTAAAATAAAGACGTTGAGACGTGCAACATTGGAACAAGATGAAAGTGAAATGTCTGTGAATCGATGTGAAAATATTAACAATACAAGAGAAGACAATGACGAAACTAATAAATATTAATGGATGACAGGTTTTTACTGTTACGAGTTTATACATTTTACAAACTCAGAACGTTTACTGTGTTTAATCATTCATCATTAAATCTAATGGTTATAAATCAGCTTAAGCAATTTTTTATCGTCTTATTATTTAAAATAGATATCCATTGTGAAATCCTTTTAAACCATATGTTATTGATAGGTTGGGGATCGACTGAAGTTAACCATTTAATTTTACAGGAGAAATAAACGAGTACTTTATGTCCTGAAACTAGAATTACGAAAAATAAAAGTGCAGCGTATCAACTTCGATTATTTCGACGATAGTTACCAGCACAGACAGCTATCATTTGGAGAGCCATTGAACTTCAGGGAGTACTAAGAGAATATTTCGGTTTAATTAAGTATTTCTGAGTAATGAGTACTTACGCCACCCATTTGGTCGAACCTTCAATTGTCGATCCTCAAGAAGTGAAAAATACCATCAACCCAATTAATCCAATTTCAAAACGCCGTATTTCCCTATCTGCTGTTATAGGGGTGCAGACAATCTCATCGCAGAGATTAAAACCTGAATACCTCAGTGGCAAAGTTTCTGACTGCTCTACTAGATAAGGAAGGTCCAAGCATCTAAGAGAGCACCGATTAACTTATAACTGCAGATACTCCATGCTAACTGATACAAACCAGCACATTACTTGAGTTCCGAGCTTATTCTCGAATGCTCCCAACTATGTGATATTCAAGACAGCCCACAGCGGTAACAACTCACTTAACTCGATGATCACATTGCAAACATGATGGAGAGAAGTCGATTGACTTTGAGGACTACACAACAAGAGATAAGTTGCTACGCACTGAAAAGAAAATTATCCTGTCTGGATTATAATACACAAGTGTAATGAAGGCCCGTAACTGAACACCTAATCTAAGGAAAAAACACCATTCACACTAAAGAACTTATAATTTTATCTGTATAGTAGGAACATATTATTAGACAAAGAATTTACATTCTCGTCCTCGTTGAAGCCTTACTAAATATAAACTACTATTTAGATGTCTATTTAAAATTTCTGAGCAATCATTGTGAACAGATAAAGTTAACAGATGCGTAGGCCTTAAATTTGCATAACCTTATTCAAAAGGTTGTACTTATCGTTTTCACATACAAACCTTACAGCCTAATATACCTACATTTAGTTGTAACTTGTTTATAAACGTTGAAGAGGAAAGTAATTTACTAGCCAACAATTTCAATGCTCAAATCATTTTCAAAACATCAACAGTTGTGATTATTCGAAGCGGTGTACATATGTCATTTTTTATTAAATATAAGATAGTAAAAACTCCGAACGATTTCATATCCGTTTGATCAACAAGAATGAAACAAACAAAGAGGTATGATAACAGAAATAATATTGCTAGTCGCCAGCACAATAGTAAAAGTAAGCATGAAAGACCAACGATGTAACTTGGTAATATGAAGTGAATATGCAATGTTTTAGAATATAGTGTTTTAAAAATGCATACAACTGGTCATTATGCAATCTTCGTTAGAACTCCAGAAATTCTTGAAAAAGTTTACATGATTGAGGATTGATTGGTCCATCTGGACGACAGTCCTTTCGACACTAAGTGGAATTTGTTTCAAATAAATAGAAATTATTTATAAAGATATGACAAATCATGACAACAAAAGATTTATTAGTTATATGAGTAATAATGATATAGAGGTCTATGAATTTATTAGTAGTTGTGTTAATCATTGATATCTATGTACTCGATTTCCAGCCAGGATCTTCGTATGAGGTTTAATGATGTCGCTACGACTGCCCAAGCTGAAATGAAACGAGCTTCAAACCTATAGTTAAATGATCTAGAATAAGATGCTTTAATTCCAACACACCACGTAACTGATTATTTAATAAACTGGTATGTGAAATATTTCGATACTGAGTTACAAAAATAAAATCAATTTATTTAAAGTTTATTGAGAGACATGTCAATGTACACAAGAAACTTGAGATTTAGAAACCCTTTCTATAATATACTTTTAAAGCATCTAGCAAAACGAAGTGTCAATTTTTACATAAACAACTACATAGGACTCCGGAATTTCCTCACCTTTAAGTTTAAATCTTATTTCATCAGTGAATCAATATCAAACATGAAGAATGTGCTTCCTATATAAATTTACATGCGACTGTATAGCTCTGAGAGTGAAATCGGTTAAATGAAATCTATTCGATGAACTACACTTTTTCTTACAGGTCTACTTTCATAAAACTAAGTAAAAAAATATAAAACCTTAATTCAATACTCACAACTACAAATGCTTAAAATGTGTTGATAAAAGACTAATGTTGGGCACTCGTTTTAAAGAATATCTATAGACTAGTACAACAATCGTTTGATCTCGCCAGTTGAATATTACTTTAACTAGCTTAATATCAGAAACACTTACCAAGCATATTGTACAAGGGATATTAGCTAAATTTGCAACAGATGGTGTTTGTGTAGCCAGTCGATAAAGTATTCCAAAACTAGTACTTTGATCAGATATTTCAGAAGTAATACGTGTTTCTAGCTCACCCCCAAACTTTAAAACTTCAAGGACACATTGAACATCCTGAACAGTCATAGGTACCTAAAAAGTCACGATATCAAAGATAGGAGTTATGTGAATTGTTTTAGATTACCTACTCATACCTAAATAACATACCAAATATAAAAATAAGGGTTTTACACAGTCTGCCATCTGATACTCTAACTCTTAAAATAAAAGCACTATCAAAATGTTGATGTTAATGTCCGGTGGCTTGTTCGTTTAATAATATCGTTTTATTTAATAACATACATTTTCAATGTGTAAAACATCCAAATCCTTTACAATAATAACATCCTATATTCACTATGAGGCTTAGATATGTACTTCGTATGATTTGTCATACATTAAGAACTTACAATTTCTAGAAACCTGAGCAGTGGCACACTGTACTGAGAAAATCTTTCCACGCACAATTTAGCAACGATATTTGCGTCCGTCCATAAAATCATGCGTAACATCTACCAGGTGAGGGCTTCTTATACTATTACTTGGCTGTCTAAATCTTAGTAGATAGTGACAAGTTTGAGCGTACGACGCAACAGACTGAAGTTCAGTATGTAAAGTTAGGTTGCATAACCACAAACTACTGGTAAATATCAGAGGTAAATATTATTTTCATTCAACAAAATTGTTTTAAAAATGCATTTCCTGTCTCAATACTTCTTTCACCAATTCTCAAAGGCCGTAACCGTCACAAAACCCACTTAATAAAAGACCTGATGTCCAAGTTTTCAATTAATTTTACTATAACCCAATCATTTGGCAAAAATAAAATGGTAGGCTTGGTAACTTAATTTACAAGCGTAGAATTTATTCGGATAATAAGGCTAACTTTATCTAACATTTAAAAATAAATTCATAAAATTCATTTTAAATTCAATCTTCAGAGGAAAATGGGCTTAATTTGCCAAAGCCTATGTTTTCGTACAATAATATGATATCACCTATCTTTAAGTTTATATGGAGTGAGAAAGTTGTAGTAGTGATGAGAATACAGTAAACTATATTATGATACTTTGACTTATCAGAAAAAAGATTCCACAACTTGCTCGACTGCCACTGTCTTTTTATGGACGGGAAATTTCACCCAAAGCTAACAGACTCGTATCTTCTGAATACTAATTGTTTCTTAAAAAAATACATATTAAAGTGTAATAAAAGGTAAATATTATTACCGATTGACAATCAATGTCGCCGAATGTTACCAACCAAAGACCTTCAAATAAATTCAAGGGGTATGTGTTATAGAAATGATACGGGAACTCACGTTCGTTTAGAGAGACATAAACCTTGTAAGAACTATTAGCCGTCCATTCAAACATCAAAACGCATAGATGAAATTAAACAAAGAGGAAATACTACTGATGAGCCATCTGAAATAACTCATTACTTCGGAAACCGAAAAATAGTATCACATGACAGCTATAGAAACATTGAAAAACACAGATCTATCTCCCCTTAAACCACAACATGTGGCCACTGTATCTATGTTTTCTGACTTATTCAGTCACTGAAAATACGGGATTATGAAATAACTTCCACAATGCAAAACACAATAGAGTTCTAAATGTGTGGTAAATTAATTGTCTTGATGGTTTAAACGATAACATTGAATCCATCTTCAAGAAACTGTAGCAAATAAGCAAAATGAAGATATGCTGACTCCCCATCAGAGTTATTTATCGTGAACGTTTTATAAATGCTAAATAGCACCCAACTTACAAGTGCTTTTCTCCTAGCACATGATCGATTCATTCGGTATATCCACCAACTAAATAATTCGAAGGCATTGTCATACATGAATCAGATCATTATTCGGTGATTCAAGAGGATGCTGAATTAATCGACGAAGACAATATGAATTATCTAAATGTTATACACACTTAGTATCTAGCCTACAAATGAGAATACAAGCTTGTACTTTGTGAGTTATACCCACTAACATATTAACAGATAGAAAGTAATTGGTCATATGCAGCAAATGAATACAGCTATTTGTCTAATATGTTACGCTTTATCGTTAGACATGTATCATGTTTGTTGACGAGTTATTTTCCACTTTCTGAAAAGTATCAAAGATAAATAGCTAGTATTTGACTAACAAAATTAAGTTTTTAGTATGCACAAGATAGGAAATAAAAAAATTCGAGACGACTAACTGTATCATAAAAACCTAAAACATATATGAACCTTTAGACCATATAAATTTATGAAAAATCGAAATGAGATTATTTCGTCACGAAGTAAAAAAACTGCAAAACAATCCAGAAGTAAATAGACTACGAAAATAAAATACCACGCAGAGATCACTCTCTATTCATTGGTGTATAGATACTTGTTATTTCTGCAGAATTACCGGTAAATATTGACCGAAAGATTTAAAGTTTTCATGATATAAAAACTTGTTCTTACTCTAAATCATCACTTTCAGAGGATAATTTTGAGTATAACTGAATATGCTTTTCTAAGTCTACCAATGAAACTAGATGTGAAGGCGAAAACAACCAGTGCAAAAGAAGTATTTTCGGCGTTCTTGTACGGAATACCAGGCAGTCTGTTCGCCCAGAGGTTCAGTAGTAGTTAGTAATTCGCACTAATTAGAGATGAAATTCGAGGTACTATCTTGTGTTAAAGATTGTTGTTTGTCACAAAATATAAAAATGCAAGTTATCTAAAGTTCAGCTTGATAAGAATATTTTATTGTTCTAGGACTTACCGTGCAAATTTTTGTGTTGGTAATAAACCGATGGATTTCTTCACAGGAAACATATGAAGCTTGCCAACGTTCTAATGGATCAGCAATATGAGAGGCTGAATTCGCCTATAAAATGTGTGTCAGAATGTGTCACACGATAACCTTATCCTGAAGATACTTCAAGCAGGCTGTTCTCAAAATAGAAATGAACTCTGCATCCACACCAGATTCCCCAGCGAATAATGTATTTGCAGCCAACTTTTCACTGGGTTCTAATTCCATTAGCAAGTAAACTTTCTGCTTGTGACCAACAGCCATCGGCACTTCTTTGATCATCTTCTTAGAAATGAGTGATTTTAGTATCCTAGGTATGCGGTTTTGAGGGAGTTTAGTTTCTGAACTAATTAGCTTCAGTGATGCAGCTGAGTTAGAGATTAAGGTATGGAAATGAGATTAAAAGCAAAATACCGTCTTCACCGGCGTTACGTATAGCATTGTAAACCAAACGTTCTTCCAGATCCGATAAGCTTTTCAACTTCCTGGTAAAAATTAAGATATGTTCTGAGTTTACTTACTCAGTCGAATTTTGATCTCTAAGTTGCCATGATAAAGTCCTATCTGCATTGACCAAGACATCCAACATCCCCTCCTTTTGTAATGCATTTAAGATGGGTAGGATGGTAGTGAGTGATACGTCAGAAAATTCCTTTTCAAAATGCTTTTGTGTAAGAGCTCCCCGTGATAAATTGAACAAATTGAGAACCCTGAAGTAATGGAAACGTGTTGACAACAACAAACCTTTCTCGAAGACTATTAGAATCGTCATTCATCGGTGATTAACAAACAAAATCTGAAACAGAGATAGCTCAGCTTGATACATAATACTTTTACGTTAAGAGGAGGAAATAACTCATTACGGAGTGTTATTTATCATGTAATGCAGTGAAATAAAACCGAACTAGTGTGGTAATATATTTAATCTTATAAAGGAATTTCAGAAAGTGTGTAAACTCTTACATCATTATGATAGCATAAGTAAATCCACAAACTAATATATATATATATATATATATATATATATATATATATATATATATATATATATATATATATATATATATATATATATATATATATATATATATCAATAATTTATGACATTAAACGAACACTTGTATATTTCCTAAAAATCATGTTAAATTCTGACGACGATTTTAAATTTGAAACCTGCAAGCCATAAGTCAAAAGTATCAAGTTGAAGTGTCTGCATAAAATTTTACTCGTTAACAGTTAGGCATTAAACTTGTAACTCTCCCAAATAATTCAAGCAGCATATATGTAATATTTTGAACAAAAACTTAATACTATAATTTATGAACGAACCAATCAGATTTAAATCAGGTCTTCGATATTGGTGAGGAATTGGCGAAACTCTAATTTATGGACGACCTTTGAACGAATCTTAAGCGACCCTGAGAAATATTAGTCAATCAACAAACAGTCAGTATACAGTAAAAATATGTTATACAAGACCAAGGAAATATAGTGGATACACTTCTTATACGTGGTTCAAAAACTTGTCAAGGTTAGAAAGAGGTTCGGAGGTTCTAAAATCGTAATGCATGCAGTAGAGGAAATTATCCATATGGCTACAGAATAGTCGGCCTCTGGAGCCATGATAAAGTCTCAAAAACTCTTTCAGCCTCGACCACATAGCTTCAATATTGTTTATGTGCACTCCGGTTGTTGAGTGCACAAAATGCTACTTGTGGATAACGACACGACGCACATAACCAAGCTTATGTAGGAGTTTGTACGCCCTCCAAACACTCGTATATATTGTAGTACCTGGCTGCAGCCAGTGCTACTGGTGCTTTTATTATCCAGTTCTCAATAATAGTCGTAATTTGCCTTAGGAATTATATATGGGGTTTCCATCACGAGCTGACATCAGCTATTTAGCCAATTGGATGAAAGGCTTTCGCGTTAAAATCCGAGATCTATTATCTTATACCTGATTGGTTCGTCCACAAATTATAGTCCCGCCGTTTTATTTGTTGTAGCCGTTCAATTATCACGTTTTGTACATAATTCCCTGTGAACCGATCGTACGTTGGCATTAAGCACTGAAGTTGGCGCTGTAACCTTGAAATCTCTAAAACGCCTCTGGTTCGCTCGTCCATAAATTAGTCTCGCCGAGGAATTTACTGATCTGCTTGGCTAAAAAGCATTATGGCATTATAGCTAACGTCAATTCTTGATGAAAACCCTAAATCCAATTTCCAACCCTAATGTTCAACTGTAAATACTAATCCTATTTCTTTACATCAATTTATAAACCGTATTTAACTCTAGTAAGTAGGTGGACATTACTAAGTTTATGTTACTCAAAAATCGTCCATAAATTATAATCTCACCGATACTCCCCCCAAAACTTAATATAGAATCTCATGATATAGCACACTACTTTAAACATTATTTGGCTTGGCACAATAGGTCATTTGAAAGCATTAGCGAACTATTGGTGCTGGAAACGTTAGCTCACTATACATTTTATAACCTGTTTAATATAATATGAGCAAAAGGCTTATATTCTTTTAATTCCGCATGAAAACAAGAATAGACAACTTAAACCGATGTGTAAATGTACCAAAATTTAAGTCAAAACTGAATGAATAATAGAGACAAACCGACTGTTAATTACGAGAACAAAGGTAAATAAACTCGAAATAATCCATAATCTAGAATTGCAGATTTCAAGTGTTGTTCAAATAAAGTAAACAATTTGGGCACGACTAACATATGTAGACGCCAGTTAACTTGAGTATTATAAAGGGCCTAGGGATACATTATAACTCATGGCATCATACGACGAACTCGTTTAGAAACAATAAATCCTCAAAGAGCAACTTTGACTCTATTTTACTGCCACGAAACTGTCGGGTGAAGAAATTTGACGACTTCAGTTTACAAACTTTTGGCTGAACCAAACTGAAAATCAGGTTAAGAAATTGATTATTTGTAAATGCAATACATGATTTACAATTTTAGATACCGATACACCGAAATCCAAGGACTTAGGAAACGAATCAACTAGGTGATTTCAGGGAAGCTTCATTAGAAAATTTAGTGGTTTTCAAGCAAATCAGACAAAGTGGTTGTTTTTTTCGATGGACTCAATAATTTTACTAGAAAGTGATTCGTATAAATATTAGGGAATATTACCCTAAACGTAAACATACATATATATACGACTATATATAAATATATATTAGTCGAAGTCGCACGAGAAAAACCTTACAACGTTAACCGATAAGTCTAAACTTTTGCCCTTTCATAAATGGCAAGTGAGTAACAAACAATTACTTAATTACTACTGAATTTTTTAAAGGTTTACACGATTGAATGACAAAGACCTTGAAATCCCAAAATGTGACATTAGACGACGTCTGTAAACAAATTCGAAGTCGAAGGAAGAAAAGGCAGAGGAAAATTTAATTAACAACACTTAATCTAGACATTTCAAATAACGACAGTCTAAAATGTAAATCGCAACGTGATTCAAGGTTACGTTACGCAAGTTTTAAAAACCGGTCCAGTGTTATGCGTTTGGGAGTGATCGATATGAAACCTTGAAATTCAATTTCAGGCTGTTTCGTACTCATCAGAAAGTCAAACTTATTAATCTGAAGTAAGTGACGTTACCTGACTGATGCGAACTTGTGACAGTCAGTTTCATTTTCTGCACTGTTACCAGTAGCAGTTTGAGCTCAGCTTCAATGTACTATTTGCACACTTATCAAAACTAGAAGTGCACGCACCACTGTTTCGTGAATCATTATTCACGAAACAGTGGTCTATGTCATATTTGTCTGGTCTTTTACTAGTGGTCATATTGTACGCCTCCGTTCATTAGACCTTTACCCACTGGAATATAGGCGTCTTAGAGGTGATCTATTAATGGCTTATAGTATTCTTAACACTTCTGGACATCCTCTTAAACACCTACTTAAGCTCAGTTCGAATAATAACCTAAGCGGTAACACCCAGAAACTGGAAACACAACATAGCAAGACGGAATGTAGACACAACTTCTACTCCTTAAGAGTTGTCAAAAGCTGGAATTCGCTGCCGGCCGAGCTAGTCCAAGCGACTTCTCAGGAGTCCTTCAAGAGGCAACTTGACCTATTCTTAAGAACCAAGGACAGCATCACACTATGATTTACCAATTTCTTTTCCTCTTTTATTGTTAACATACCTAGGTTCCTGCCTGGAGGATTTGGTGATCCCCTGCTACTAGACACGGAAGCCTGTTAAGCGAAAGCTTCTTCTATTCCGTCCACAACCATTTGAACCATTTAGTCTGGCATCAAATATGAGTGACTTGAAATCTTGTTCAGTGTATTTTGATGATCTCAGTAGGATAATATCGACCTAGGATTCTTAAGATCCGCCACTATAAGGATCACCTGTAGTCTTATGTGATGCAGTGAATTTTAAGATAACATTGTGAATGTAATTTCAAGGGGATCGTCAACAGGTATTATGGCTAGTCTTAGTAGCCTGAGTAGTTCCCCATTGGACACCACTGAAATTGCTAATTAATAACGGCCGTTGCTTATTTATCTCATTGTAAAAAAGACCCACTTCAGTTGTTTTATCCTCTACCCTTAGTTCGTGTTTTTATATCCAAGAAAATCTTGTCATGTGGCACGACTCTAATCTATGTGATATGAGCCTTATAACAGTTAAGAGTTCCATATTATGTGACAACACATCTTCCATGAATCAATTTATCAAATTATATGTCTCAAGTCATATAATACTATTCTGTGACTTCAGACTTTCTATTCCAAGAAACAACAAACCCCAAGATCGAACGATTGGGGACACTGGTTTCTAACCAAACATGTAGGAGTATAAACGCCGTTGTGTATTGATCCAGTCTTTACTGTAGTCACTTGTTTTAACCTGATCGTATAGATAGTCGCATGTTTCAAACTGAACAAACGTGGCAAGGGTCAGTGAAAGTCCGAAAGCGAGTTCGAGTCGACAACAAATACAACCACTGTGAGGATGAATATAATAAACTTTCCTCTGGCATATTGCCTTGTTCAGTGGAAAAATCTAAGACTCAGACTATCCGAAGAAATCTTGGAGTGAAAATGAAAACTAGATGTGGTAATGTTGAGATTTCACAAACACCTAGCCTAATATTATCTGCTTAATTTATGAAATTATGGCCTAGCTCGTTATTGTTGATGCTAAATTAATTGACCTGATCCCAAAATTGTAAGCTTGTCATGATATTACTATCTAATCTAAAAGATCTTACATGGAAGTCACATCCTTGTCTACACTTACTCGTCCTGTCGTGCTAGTCGCTAATATGATGTTACCTACCTCCGGAGAACACATTTAGGCTGAAGATAGAGCAATATATTTCATATGAATAAGAGATAAGTTACACAAGAATGATCACACCTGCAAGGCTGAGCCATGATATCCGACTGAATCTAATTAATTCTCCCCGCCTTCTCGATTGTTGGTCTTCTCTTAGCATTAAGTGTCGAATATCTATTTTCCCAATTATCTAATGTTAGGACTAATACCAGTATGGAGATATTCGTATTAATGGTTAAAGATAAGTTTTCCATAAAACAGCCATTGTAATAATTCTTCTTTGCCAATTACTGATATAGTGAGTAAAATATTTTAGGATTTGGTTTAAACGAAGAACTTTTGCAACAATGGATCATTCTTGTGTAGCTTATCTCTTATTCATATGAAATATATTGCTCTATCTTCAGCCTAAATGTATTCTCCGTAGGTAGGTAACATCATATTAGCG